CTCCTCCTCCTCCTCCTCCTCCTCCTCCTCAAGTCCACCCATCTTAAAATATGCTGGCTGGGGGATTCTGGGAGTTAAGAATTCTTTAAGAAATGATGACCCCAATTTGGTGTCTTCCCTGCCTGCCTGTTTTCTTGGTCTTTCCCGGGAAATAATAATAATAATAATAATAATAATAATAATAATAATAATAATAATAATAATAATAATAATAATAATAATAATAATAATAATAATAATAATAATAATAATAAAACAACAACAACAACAACCCTAAGGTCCAACAGACTTTCCTCCTCCTATGTTCCCCATGTGAGGTGGGCAGGGCGAGAGAGAGGATTGGCTGAAGGTCACCTGCTGGCTTTCATGGCTAAGGCAGCACTAGAATTCACTGTCTCCTGGTGATTGGCCCAAAGTCACCCAGCCGGCTTTCGTGGCTAAGGCAAAACTAGAAGTCACCATCAGCTAACGATTGGCTCAAAGTCACCCAGATGGCTTTGGTGGCTAAGACAAAACTGGAACTCACATCTCCTGATTCTAGCCTGGTGCCTTAACCCCTAGGCCAAGCTGCCTATCCTCAACCTTTTGTGCCTTCCTTTCTCCCCACAGCGCTTTGCGTCCATCCCACGCTACGTGGAAACCTTGGTGGTGGCCGACGAAGAAATGATGCGCTTTCACGGCGCTGGGCTGAAGCCATACCTGCTCACCATCATGGCAGCCGCTGCCAAGTTCTTCCGCCACCCGAGCGTCCGGAATCCCGTCAACTTGGTGGTGACCAGGCTAGTGGTGATCGGAGAAGCCGAGGACGGGCTGAGGGTTACCTCCAACGCGGCCGAGACCCTGCGCAATTTTTGCAGCTGGCAGAAAGGGCTGAACAAGCCCAGCGATAAAGACCCCGAGCATTTCGACACGGCCATTCTCTTCACCAGACAGGTGAGAAGCGACACCTGTCCCATCTCGCAGGCATCTGAGTTGGCTAAAAGCAGGTCGGCGGAAACCTGGAGGGGGGGCATTTAAAGAGCATCTTGTAGGCGCTTTCACAAAATGGGGAACGGGAATGGCCAGGTGGAAAAGATCGATTTCTTAGAAGGAAATTGGAAGAAAAGCTCCCTTAAGTTCTTTCTAGGATGGTGTTTCTTCACCCTGGCGACTTTTCAGACAGGTGGACTTCAACTCCCAGCATGCCTCTGGTGAATTCTGGGAGCTGAAGTCCACACAATGTAAAGTAAGCTGGCTGAGGAATTTTGGGGGTTGAAGTCCACCCCTCTTAAAGCGTGCTGGCTGGGGAATTCTGGGAATTGAAGTCCACCCCTCTTAAATCAAGCTAGCTAGGGAATTCTGGGAGTTGAAGTCCACCCCTCTTCAAATTGCCGAGGCTGAGAAACGCCGCTCTAGGATATTCTTGACCAACTTCGATTGCTTTAATAAAAAAAGGCACTCCCAAAACTCTGGATTGCAGCAATTTGCCAATTTCAATTCCCTAGAATTCCTGGAATTACAGATCCCAAAATCCAGCTTTGGAAACAGAAGTTATGCCCTGAGTTTTGAAAGAATGTCAGCCTCCCGCTGAACTCTTATTTTTCATGAAAAGCTGGTTTCTTTCGTCAGGGCTGACCAGAAACCGGATGGCACAAATGTTAGGAAGTTAACCTCACCAACGGAGCGAGGGGAAAACAATTCTTACAATACACGTTTATCTCTTTGCTGGCAGGATCTCTGTGGACGCTCCAGCTGCGGCACCCTTGGCATGGCAGATGTGGGCACAGTCTGTGATCCGACCCGCAGTTGTTCCATTGTCGAGGACGATGGGCTCCAGTCAGCCTTCACTGCGGCCCACGAATTGGGTAA